CATCTTTATAACCTCCATGGTGAATAGCATGGGTGGCACAGAATACTAAGTGGTAAAGAATAGGTGCTAAAAACCATTTGTTGAGCTGAAATGAGTAGTTAAAGAGATAGAATAAAATACTATTTGGGGACAACAGCTAGTTATTCATTGTGAACTCTATCTTTTTTATTCATGGACTAAAATAATACTCATTGTTAGGATTGAATGAGATATGTAGGTAAAGTAGTTAGGTTGGTCATTAACTGGTAATTATTACTATTGGCTGGCAGCAGCCAGAAGTATAATGAAACCTAAGGCCAAGAACTTCCAGAAAGATGGAATGCTCAATAAGGGACCTTTGTATGTCATAGCCAGCTTTCTCTTTCTTACACACAAAGACACACAGATATAAACATATACATGTATACTTGTATACACACACATACACACAGAGGCAGTGAAGGATGCTAAGCAAACTGTAAACCTTGTACACTGGTAATTTATATGTTCTTATTATTTTTTCCCCTGAATAGAAGATATTCTTTGTAATTTAAATTTTGTCCTATAGTGGCTAGTTGAAATGACTTTCTGGCTTGTTTCATGATTTGAGCATCAGCATTGACAAGGTTTTGCTTTCCAGCTAGATAACAGACCCACACCTGTATGCTTTACTGTTTAGTGGATTCTCTTAAATAAAAAGTGTGTCTACCCCACAGTTTGGAGGCTGCTTTGGGAGGGAAATAAGACTCTCAGAACCAGCAAGCATCACATTGTCCAGACTATCACACACATACAACACCCTCTGGTAAAACAAAGCAGCTATGTGGCAGGCCTGCCCAACAGAGATTCTCCCTTTAGCTGAGACCTGAGGTGAGCTGAGGATACCAAACAAAGGCCTGGCATCTGCAGGCACAACTGATAGGGAGAAAGGGGCCAGGATTTTCCATGACCCTGACAACTCTGTCTTATCACAGCATCCCCCTCCCAGTCAGCAACTTTCTCCTCACCTGTGGGTCTGAGTGTCACCCAAAGCCTGGAGTTTATCGTCTAGAAGGAGGACTTCAAGAACCAAGCCTCCTAGTTGGAGCCGTGACCCAGCTCCCTTGGGACTCAGCTTCCCTAGAGGCCAGGCCCTAGGACCCTTGCTGCCTGCCCTTCTTCTGCCCTCCGTGATCCAGTCCTCCTGTCCTCAAGAAGTGCAAGGCCAGACCTTTTGCCTTCTCTTCCACAGCACAACCCTCTTGGGCACTCTCCCTTGGCTCCCCTCCCCCATCCCACCCCCTTTCAGGGCATAAGGGACCTTTTCTATTTGCAGAGCCTAAAGAAGCCGGTTGCCAAGGTGACAGGAGCAGGAACAGCAGGGAGCTTGCCATGGGGGAGGGGCTTTGCCCCCAAACAGCTGTCAGTGGGAGCGGTCCCAGCTGGGACTAGAGGGTTTGCCTCTTTGGGAGGAAATACCCCCAGGATGTCAAATTTCTCTCTGCCATACTTCCCTTAGCACCCCAGAAGTCTCCCCTGTCTACTTTCCCTGGAGGCAATCAGCAAGCCAGCTTTAAAAAAAACAAAAACAAAACAAAAAAAAACCAACCCAGAAAAACAAACCTATGACAAATGAAACCAGAGCTCTAGCCCCTTTACTGCTGCTAGATCTCTCTCTCTCTCTCTCTCCCCTCCCTCTCCCCTGTCTTTCTCTCTCTCCTTTCCTTCCTCCCTCCCTTCCATGAACAAGCTTGCTTTTGCTTTTCTGCTCTCTCAGGCTCCCCTCCCTCCCATGGTTCATACACCTTGGGCTCACTGGGCAGAAGGCCAGAAGTCACCCTTGCCTGGGGAACTGTGTAGCCCAGGATAGGTGCTGCTTCAGGCTGCTCCCCCCCCCCCATCAAGCTGCAAGAATTATTTCAGTCTCTTTGTTCAGAGGCACTGAGAGGATCTGCTGCTCCTATGCTTCCCCCAGTTGCCTTCCAATTGTGGGGTGGGAGTCAGGGCTTTCAGAGAGGAAGGGGTGGGAGAGAAAGGAAGAATAGAACCAACAGTGGGAGGCAGGAACAATGCAAGGCCCACTGATCTGTGTCTCTAGGGGAGAGGGTCTTTGTCCTACTTAGCTTACAGCTGCTCCATAGAAAGTTCTGTGGGGCTAATGGTCTCTGCACTGGATTATGGCTATAATACTGCTAGTCACAAGCCACACCTTTGCCCCTGGACCTCAAACCTGGGGCTCAAGAGCAGAGAACCCACCATCTGGCTCTAGAAACCCAAACAGCCTTAGAAGCACCAGGCTCTTTGAACTATGGGCTGGAAACAAGAAAGGCAGCAGAGCCCCTTGTCCTTATAAGAGAGCTACCCATGGCTTGATGATAAAAGATGCAGGAGCTCACTGTGCCAGGGGTAGAGCTGAGTCCCTGTTCTGCAGCTGGGTGACCTTGAGTGAGTTGTGTAGTGAGTTCTTGGGGAAACTCCCTGAGCCTTGGTTTTCCCATTTGTAAAATGGATAAGACACACCCAGTTTATAGGCCTCTTTTAAAGGTTTAGAGAAGAGGTGTGTGTAAAATGCCTGTTGTATTCTCTGATATATGATAGACTAAGTGCTGGTCCCTTTTCACTGTTAAATTTTCTTGAGACCCCAGAGATGCCTAGCAGCCTCAGGAGGAACACAGGAACATCTTTCTTTTGAGCCTTCTGTAGGATTTAGGGGGCTGGCTTAGGTTTACAAAGAAGCTGAGTTTTGGCCTGAGCAGCAATGGGGTTCTTAGGAAGTCTTGAATATTGTTCTAGGGTTTGTGGTTTGGGAACATAGAGGGAATGTGGTTGAGAGGTCCTAGCTCTGTCTCAAGTTGCTCTAAACATAATGTGTGATTCCATAGTTTTACTCTTCTGAGCCTCAGCTTCTTTGTCCATAAAAGGCAGAGGCTGGCCCTGTCCCTGCAGAAACCAATGCCAGACAGTGAGGAATATTTCCAACCCCAGCTCAGCAGTGACCACTGGAAGACAGCTACTGACCCTTTATCTCAGTGGTGTCTGACATCTCAAAAAGGTGAATAAATGGCTTTAGCTTTGTTTTCCTCCAAGTTAGTACCACATGCTCAATCTGTGCTTCCTATTGCCTTTTCACACTTTGCCTTCTGCCTTTTCCTATTTGTCTGCTGGGTCATTGTTCATGCGCTGATTCAAGTGCAAAACTGTGAAGTGGTATACTCTTGTAATCCCATCCTTTGGGAGAGGAAGTCAGGAGAAGGATCACAAGTCCAAGGTTAGCCTGGGCTTCACAGTGTAACTCCATTTTAAAAAAGACTCAGATGCCACTTTCTCTGAGAGAGAATTATCCTGTGTGGAAGAGTTAGCCATAAGTGCCCATAGATTTGTTTGTATATCTGGCTCCCTCCTTTTGCCCATATACTCTTTTAAGTAAGAAATTATAGGGCTGGGAAGGTGGCTCAGTGATAGAGCGCTTGCCTTGCATGCATGAGGCCCTAGGTTTGATTCCTCAGTACCACATAAGCATGAAAAAAAAAAAAGCCAGAAGTGGCGCTGTGACTCAAGTGGTAGAGTGCTAGCCTTGAGCTGAAGAGCTGAGGGACAGTGCCCAGGCCCAGCGTTCGGGCCCCACGACCGGACCCCCCCAAAAAATTATATTTTGACCATATTTTCCTTTTCTTTTTTTTTTATCCTCATACTGGGGATTAAACCCAGAGCCTCTTGTATGCTAGGCAAGTATTTTACTATTGAGCTACACCTGTATCCCCAACCATTTTGGTTTAAGTCTGGTGACAAGCATATAGTATGTCTTCTAGGAGACACACACACACACACACACACACACACACACACACACACATACACACACACAGTTATACTGAACTGTAAAATGGTCTGGATGAGGACAGAGGGCCAGTGATTTCCTTAGGAAGGTGAGCAGAGTAATTCTCTTTTTAATGCCAAACCATATGGTCTACCACTATACTTGTTTCTCTGAAATAACAGAACTTTGTCTTGTTCTGTGGACTGGTAAGGCTGGCTTATAGGGCTCTTGGCAAACTTTTCTATTAAAGATTGCCTGTAATAGGTAGTTCTGGGAAAAGTTTAGCAGGGAGGAACAAGTCTAGCCAGGGAATACTGAATCATCCTCTTTGTAGAATTTACCCCGTAAGTAATCAGCTGGATTTGTTCTTTAAAAAAAATCCTCCAGTTGTTGCCTTCACTGGCAGACTTCTGTAGCTCTTCACTCCAAGGTCAGATGGCTCTGTGCTCATAGTGCTCAAAGCTCTGAGAAGACTATGATGTACTGCTCCTGTCTCCTCACCCAGATTGTCCTTCTTGATCTCACTGCCATCTGTACACTCAGAAGTGGCAACACCACTAGCAAACATTAGTCAACAAGTTTCTGCTGGATGAGGAAAAATAAATGGGTCACTTCCCAACTCCCTAGTGGTTGTCACACGTTCCTGGCTAATTCCTGTCCCTTTTGACGCCTACTAGGAAGTTTCAAAACAGTCTATCCTACAATGCCTGTTCACTTGGAATTAAGAGCTATAATCATGTACTCAAATTCAACACTGAGCCCATTATAAAGAAGGACTCACTGATTTCTATCCATGTGACTTCATCTTGTAAGGTTACATTAGAAGAATGAAGCAGAATCAGGAGCTAGTAAGCACCTCAAGAATGGGAGAGGGAGCCAGGCTCTGTTGGCTCAAGCCTATAATCCTACCTACTCATGAGGCTGAGATTTGAGAATTGCGGTTTGGAGCCAGCCTAGGCACATAAATCTTCCAGACTCTTACCTTCAATTAATTTGAAAAAAGTGGGGGTGTGGCTCAAGTAGTAGGGAGTGAGCTTGGAGCAAAAAAGGCAAGTGAGAACACAAGACTCTTGAGTTCAAGCTCCAGTACTAGCTCTCTCTCTTTCCCTCCCCCCTCCCTCCCTCTCTGTCTCTCTGTCTTTGTCTTTCTCTCTTTCTCTCTCTCTCACACACACACACAAATAGTAGAGGAAGAGATGTGGCTGGTACTTCTTGGAGTCCTTACCTGGTGCAATGAGGGGGTGGGCAGCTACAGCAGGAACTGTCCGGCTGAGCCCAGCCCTGCCATCCATACTCTCTGGCAGGCTGCTGTTGCCATCTCCTTTCTTGAGAGGCTCCATCACACTGTCAGTTATGCCAGGTTTAGCACCTGTAGGGGAAGCCTGAGCAGTGTTTCTGCCCTGTGAAGGGGCAGGCAGAGGCTGGCTACTGCCAGGGGTGGGTTTCAGGGCCAAGTTGGGCAGGACAGGCTGAGTAGGGGTAGGGCCCGAGGCTGCTGCAGCTGGTGTCTGCTGTGTTCGGAGGGTCAGATTCTGTACCTGGAAAAGAGGGGTCTATGGGAGTCCAGAGAATGAGATAGGAGTAATGTCAACACACAACTAAGACAGGAAGAGTTAGGGATAGATCCAGGAATGGCCAAACAGGATAGTGGGTTGTAAAATTGGAAAGAGAGAAAGAGAGTGAGTTAGGGGTTGAGTGAGGAATCAGGAGCAGATACAGTTTCTAAAGAAGACAAAAAAGGTCACTAGCAATCAGATCTACCAGCAGAAGGAACTGAATTCTGAGAAGCGACTGCTACCCAGGCTGGGGCAAAGGAGGGTAGGCTCTCCTTTCCATGAATCTTCCTTCTATTCCATCTGTAAACTATCAGGATTGGATATATAACACTCAGGTAATTTCCAGGCACAGTGAAGCATGGGGCTTCCTACGCTGGATAAGGCCATGGAAAAGTGAAAGTTAACTGACCAGCAAGGCCATCAGGTAAAGGATTAGCTTGTCCCCAGCACAAGGCTTTCTAAGACAGACGTGCTTACTCAGCATGGTCCCTGGCGCCCTCTGCTGGACATACAGGTGCTGTGCAAACTGGTCATCCCTCCCTCCCCCTCCCCACCTCTAACCTCCTAGGTCTCTGTTGTGGAGATGGTGTGGGAGATGAGAGTGAGAAAGTCTCTTCTCAGCTACCCCAGGATTCTCACAGCTATAATAGCAGCTATGTGCTACTGAAGGCAAGAGCTTAGTACTCATCCTCGTTCTCCAGTGCCCACTTCCCCACTCTTAACTGTGTTGACAAATGTAACCCAAGGGAAATTCTACTGGCAAAGCAACAACAAAGCAAGTTACTTGGGGATGGGGTGGAGCAGTGTAAGGTCTGAAGGCCTCAATATACTGCCCTTGGACTACTTTACTCTATTTGAGGGACCAACATGAAGTCAAGAGTGGCTGAGGCTGTCTGGATGGGCATGAAAGAGTGCTTGGAAACATTGGGCTGTCCAGCTTACCTGCTTCCCTACAAGAGCTCAGCATTTGCACAGACCTAGAGCTCCTTCAGGACTACCCATTCCCAGCACCCCACCCATCTACAGTGCTGCCCACCCCCCTTCCCTCCCACCAGCATGGGGTCCTCACCTGGGCAGGGGTAGGGGGCCGGGCGGGGGAGCCAGTGCCGAGCTCAGGCTGCACGGTAGCGACGGTGGCCGTGGGCGTGAAGATGAGCTGAGGGGACAAAGGAACAGTGCCGCCTAGGCTCCTAGCTACCTGCACCAGGTTACCTGGCTGGGCCTGGAATCACAGGAAACGAGGCGCCTTTTACCTGTCCAATGTGAGCTCAGCCACAGGGCAGAACAGTTGAGCCAGGGAATAGACATAAGGGTGGCTAGGCAAGTGGACCAGGAGGCAAGAAAGGGTAGGAGGCCTGGGGATTGGGTGGAGTGTCAGGAGGCTTATAGCTCACTGACCCAAGCTGGGCAGTGGCAGGATACAGAGGTGGGGGAAAAGAGCTGCTCTGGGGCTCTGGACCTTCTATGAGGGGCTCATCCTAGAGGAGTCTGTGTTTCCAACATGCACTGAAGTCACTAATCTCCTAAATATGCTGGGATCCTTGGGCCGATACTGGAAGATCATTTTCTAGTCCTGACCACTGGGCTGGGTTGGAACAAGACTTTCTCTCCAGAAGGATCAAATCAGAGGTGCTGGTGGCCACTTTCTGGCCAAATTTTGATTCAAGGCACCAAGAGGCTACAGTAGCAGAGGAGGCAAATGGCCTAGACTCTGCTGGCATCTTAAACTCCACATGGGTCTAGTTCTGCGTCCATGTGGATAGCACCTGTGCTTTCCCTACAGCTAATACACAGAGGCTTGTTCCTCTGTGCATGTGAATCCTCCTTTTGTGGGGCAGCAGACAGGCATGAGGACCCCACTGGGGGCACAGAGGGAGACATGGGATCAGTAAAGTGGAGGCAAGGTTGGGAAACAGAAGTCTGTTTTATGTTGTGTCCAGGAAGCATTCTCTGACAATGGATGTGTCTTAAATGATGAGCTCAGAGCTGGTAACAAAAGTGTGGGAACAAGATCAGAAAAGCTCCAAGCACCAAGTTCCAGCCACCAGAGCAAAGGAAGGGGCAGGACTGTACTCTTTTGAGATGGCGTGTTGAGCAGCAGAAGGATAAGTCACCTCAGTGCATTACGTATGATATTTGACTCTGGTTGGAGCCCACCTAGCCTCCTGGAGACTGCTGCTAATGTCCCAAGACATCTTCTGAATATTAGATGCTTGTTAGGCTCCTAAGGTCTTCTGGATCCCTTAGGATCAGATACACAGTAGAGACTCAAGCATGCTGATCATAGCCTGTCTGTGACCAGTGTCTGTTCTGATCAAAGAAGCTTACCAGGATCTAGGAAGAAGGGGGCCCAGTGGGAATGGCAGTGGAAGCAGTAGCAAGCAGTGGGCTCTGAAGCTCTACCCCCAGGGGTGGCAGTGCACCTTTGGCCCCTGAGCTGGAGGAGGCTAGTTCTTCCATGGACCTTCCAGGAAAGTATCCAGGAGGAAAATCCCATTTCTGTGCAGTACCTGGTGTCTGTCTGCTCATCATCTTACAGTGTGAGTATATGAGAACTTTTGGGCACGGCTCAGGTACTGTCCTTCTTAATTCTGAGAAATTGTTTCTTATGAGGAAACAATTCTGTTTCACTTTAGGAAGACAGGGAAGGGAAGCATGCTTGGTGGCTTTCTCAGTCTCATATTAAAACTCCATCCTTCTTGTAGTCCTGGAAATCATGTCATGCTCTCCCTCAGCCTTCCAGGCCCACCTTGTTTTATTCTACCCACTTGCAGTTTCTCCTGGCCCTCAGTCCTTCCTTCCCATCACTAATATTGGTCTTCCACCTTATCTGCTTGTGTCCCCTAGCCCAGGAGTCACAGTCCAGATTGTGGGTACTCACCATCTGTGCCCTGAGATACATTTGTGCTTGGCTTGCAGTTAGAGCTGGAGAAGATGTGTTGCCCAAGAGCACAGCTTGTTGGGCAAGACCAGAGGCTGTGGCTGAGTTGACGCTTTGAGCCCGGTTGATGAGCTGAGCTGCTGCTGGGGAGGCTGCCAGATTGATCTGATACAGGAGAAATGAGTAAAAGGAAATGGGAGGCTCTTGGTGAATGGTGTCCTTATGCCTTTTTTTTTAAACCTATGTAGCCCAGGCTGGTCTAGAACTCACTATGTAGCTCAGGCTATTCTTGCACTCCTGACTCTTCTGCTTTAGTCTAGGTTATAGGTATGCACCACCATGACTGCTCCTCATCCATTTGTTGCCCTCACTGTCTTCTGTTCCTTGGTTTATGCAGTATCCTGGTTCTTGGGCCTAGGAGTTGCCTTGAGCACTGCCCCATCTCAAGCCTAAGTGCCAAACTGCAGGGAGGACCTGATGTTGAAAGACCCCAGCTAGCAAGAGCACCTTAACCTTGGAAAGATGACAGGGTGCTAATGTAAGGCTTAGAAAGAGATTCACATTGCTTTTTCCTGGCAAGAACAACATACTCCATACATGGTCCTGTATGGATAAGGATGCTCCACATTGGGGTCCAAGAAGTCAAAAGCTTCTTGGGAGGGGAGGCAGAGCTGTGGCCTTTGCCTGTCACTCACACCCAGTACTCACCGAAGATGACTGGACTGGAGCCTGTGCAGACACACTGCTGCCAGAAGTGCTCCCTTGTCTGTTGGCCACCAGGCTTGCCTGAAAAAGAACAAACTCTTATCATTAGTGTTGCAGCCTCCTCTGTCCTTAGTCATTTTTGAGTCCTTATCTTCCTGGAAGCATTGGACAGTGGTCAGGAAATCAGTTTTGAAGCCCAGACTTGCCTGCCTCCACATGGCCTTGAGCAAGGGCCCAGACTCCCTTCTTACAAGCAGAGATAACGATACCTACCCAGAAGGTTGCTGAGCAGATGAGCACCAAGCACTGTGACTGCTTGCCATCGCTACTGCCCAGCATTCCCCAGTTCTCCCCATCTCTCCACCTTACCCAATGGCCCATGGTACCATGCTGAGAGTTGTGCACACAGTCTGGCATATCCAGTCTGTCCCTCTTCCCTTGGAAAGCTCTTAGCCTTAAGGAATTAGCTTTAATGTGACCCTAGAAGAGAGTGATTCCCTGTCCACCGAGTTTAGGGCTGTCCTCCTTGTCCCTCAGTCATAGCAATTTGTTCTTTTTTCATAGGGCTTATCACAGACATTTAAAAACATTGTCTATTTTAGTTCCTGTTTACTTGTGATCTTTCAAGGAGACAAGTGAATGAATGTATAAATTAATATGTTCTCATAGAACAGAGGTAAACTGGGCAGGTGGACAAGTGAGCTGGCATGCCATTTTTTTGTGAGCATCTCCTTGGGGGTTGCTGTTCCTGCCCTACAGCATGGGATGTGGTGAAAGAGACTCCCTCAGCTCTTCCTCCCTGGGCCAGCTGGTGAGGGCTGCAGCTGCTCCAGCCACTCACTAGCAGTGTCATCTTGGAGTAATGGATGTGCTGACAAGCCATGCTTCTATGGAAGGAGCTCTGGTGGGAAGCCTGGGGGCAGGGCCTGCTTCCTGCCCTTCTGCTCACTTGTCCAGATTCCTTGAAAGGAGCCTGGGAGCCAGGGTCTTCCCATGGCTTACCTGCTGTACAGCTGCCAGGCTCTGGAGTTGTGCACTGCTGAGGTGCTGCTGCTGCAGGGCTGCTGTCTGTAACATGAGATGCTGCTGCTGGGCGGCATACATCTGCTGCAGGTACTGAGCTGCTGTGCTGGGCTGCCTGTGTAGGGCTTGCTGGATCACCTGAGAAGGACAACAGTGTATCTGGGCATCAAGTGGCTGCATAGCATACCCCTGTGGTCATGCCTTGTTGACATCAGCTCACCAAATGGTTGGGAGAAAAACCCCACCATAACCCATCTCCCTGTCTCCAGGAGCAGAAGAGAGAGCTGTGTACAAGCTGCCTATGTTGTCTGTCTTACCTCTGCCTTTGGCTCCTCCCTGACATGTTTGCTTCTAATCAGTTGTCAGCACCCCACCATCCTGACCTACTCTCAGGGAGGTGGAGTTCCTACGCCAGGCTTGGGTAGCGCCCCCACCTCCACTACCTCAAATGAGGACAAAGTTCAGAAGTCAGACTGAAGAAAGGAGCTGAGAAGAAGATCCAAGCCAGCCTGTTCCATATTCAGCAGAAGCCAGCCAAATTCAGACTCATGTGAAGGCAGCTGCCTCTCTAGAAGGTAGGGCTTCAAAAGGCGACTTGGTGCCACTCTCCAGGATCTGCCCAGAACTCCCAGAGAGTTCTTATCAGTCTCTCACGTTGTCTTTGTCTTGCTGCCTATGCCTGTGACCCCGGACTGGCACATTTCCCTTTGATTCCTTCTTTCTTTCCCTAGCCTTTTCTTTTCTTTGCTTCTTCTTTGCAGAGATTCTCTCTCTCTCTCTCTCTCTTTCTTTAGCCTTATTGTTTTCAGAGGTGGACAACCTTCTTCCAGACAAGTGCCATTTGAATATAACATCACTTGAGCTATCAAAAATTATCAATATAGACAGATGGCTGCGGACAGCTGACAAGAAGTGAACATGTCTGTCCTGTCATATATCAAATGATTTTTCAGGCCTTGTTTGGCCCATGAGCTAGATATTCCCCACCTCTAGTTGAACAGCAGTCTCTAGGAAATAATAAAAGGCTTTTGTTTTCAAATCCCCCATCAACCAGGAACAAAGGAAAGTGAGTGCCTCCCATAGTCCTGAGACTCCTGCTTTCTCATGAGGCTTAGAGACAGATCTTTCTTCTCCTGCCCTTTCTTCACAGCTAATGTCCTGTACTGGCCCTGGCCCTGGCCAGACTCTAGCCAACTTGTCTCTGGTCCAAGACTGCTCCTTCTTGGGCCCTGTCTCACAATTGAGCCTCTGGTCAAGATGTCCCCAACTTAGTGTGATTTTTAGGCAGCTCCTGGTGAAAGCTCTGGGCTCAGACTTGTGTTTCTATGAAAGCAGGCTAAGGTTATAGATCTTCTGTAGTCCTAGTGTCTCCCAGTGCTTGTGTAAGTATCCCTCATTCTCACCCTTTCTGATCCTGTTTATATGAACTCTATTCTTTTTCACCATTGCTGCCTCACCTGAGCTTATTTTCCTTAGACTCTTGAAAGTGACATCCCCAGCAGCAGCTAAGGCTCTGTGACGCCTCCTCATCAGGGGTGCCAATGAATGGAATCAAGCGGAGCCCCAATGGGTCCACTAGAGTACAGAGGACAATGCGGGCAGAGTCCTCCAGCCCCCTTTGCCTGCAGTTTTGTGGGTAGTAGGAGCAAGCATGTTTCCTGCCAGATGCTGGCACCAAGCTAAAATATCCTGTGTGAAAGGGCCAAGGGAAGGAACTGTGGGCAGGGCAAGGCAAGGTTGAGAGCAAGAAAAGTGGTTTGATTAAGTGTGAATATAACTGGGAGCAAAGACAGTATCTCAAGGTTGTCTTCTTTAACCAGATTTTTCAGGCTTCACATTGTCTGCTGTGGCTTCTCCCTTATCCTCATATTTGGGCCGAGGGCCAATTCAGGATGAACTTACTCTTCTAGTATATACAAACTACAAGGCAAAGTTACTTACAGTAAACATTTCTCAGTTGTGGCTTCTTATCTGCTCAAAGGACCAAGAACCTCAACAAGATATTGTGAATCACAATAAACATTATCTACTTGAGGTTCCTGGAGTGTTTAGGTTCAATTTTTTTCTTTACCTGAATAGCCTCAGACAGTTCTGAGGCTAATTGGAGATGATCAGAAGGCAAAATGCTACAGAGCTAGGTATTGAGCAAATGGAAGTGCACAATCCTGACTGCATTTTGGAACAGTATGGAATCACCCAGAAGGCATTTACATGACACTTAGCAAATCTTAGGGGAAAAGGAAAATGCTTCAAAGACAAAAGACCTTGAGCTTTATTTTTTGGCCCTCTATCTTTGAAAAAATTTAGATTTATTCCTTAGGCAGTGATTATTGAGATAATGAATTTGGGGTGCAACAGAGCAGCAACCAGTCATTGGCTTTCTTTTCTGGGCTTTTGTATGTTCAAACATATGTTCTCTCAAAATAACATTCTTGTATTCACACCATCATGGAGAAAAGGAGCTTTTATTGTTTTTTGGTTATTTTTCTCCTAGTCATCTATGTATTTATTCTCTGTTCCTCCAACTTCCTTGAATGGACCCATCTTGCAGTATTTCCTCTCCTCTAACTATATGCACACATGCCACTGACCCATTCTCTCCTTAAGGGTCATTCCTCTAGACCATGCTAACACTTCCTCTTGGAACTCTCTGTAGGTGATAAAGCAATAAAATTCTGCCTCAATTTGTACCTTACCTGCACAGTCTGCCGGTCAGGAATCCCACTGTACACAGAAATCTGGGGTCCAGTGGGGCGGCCACTGCTACCACTGCTGCTATTGCTACAGCCATTGTTACTGCCAGACCCACTGGCTCCACTGGTGACACTTGCACTGCTGGTCGTGTGCGGGACTGGCAGCTCATTCTCCATGGCCTACAGGGTGGCAGAGTCAGGGTAGTCAGGTGGCAGGAGAGCAGATGGATGCTAGCAGGGAAGAGGGAGGAAAGAAATGCTTAGAAAATGCTTATTGGACAATGTACATCCATATCCTGGAGTTCTGCATCCATGAATTAAACAAGCCTTGAATGGAAATACAAGGAAAAAAATTTTTTCTGTATTGAATGTACTTTTTTTTTTTTTTTTGGTCGTGGGGCTTGAACTCTGGGCTTGGGTGCTGTCCCTGTGCTCTTCAGCTTGAGGCAAGGGCTCTACCGCTTGAGCCACAGCATCACTTCCATACATGGATGTTTTTTGTTTGTGTCTAAAGAATACAGAGTTAACCAGGCACTGGTGGCTCACACCTGCAATCCTATTCAGGAGGCTGAGTTCTGAGGACCACAGTTAAAAGCCAAGCCTGGGCAGAAAAGTCCATGAGAGTGGCACTGTGGTAGAGTGGGGGCTGGGAATGTGGCTCAGTGGTAGAGCGCTTGCCTTGCACATATGAGTCCCTAGGTTCGATTCCTCAGCATCCCATAAGCAGAAAAAGCCAGAAGTGGTGCTGTGACTCAAGTGGTAGAGCACTAGCTTTGAGCAAAAAAAGCTTAGAGACAGCGCCCCAGCTCAGAGTTCAAGCACCAGGACTGGCAAAAAAAAAAAAAAAAAAAAAATATATATATATATATATATATATATATACAGAGAGAGAGAAACAACCACTTACATGCAGTGGGTAGTATAACTAACCTAGAGATGATTTAAAATATATTGAGTATGTGTAGGTCATATAGAAGTACCATACTATTTTATATAAGGGATTTGATCTTAAGTAGTGGTGTCTGGGGGAGTTCTGGAATCAATGTCCTGCAGATACCAAGGCATGACTATATTTGTATGCACCAGCTTTCTAAACAGCCTTCATGGGATCACTTGCAGACTAAGGCTTGGACACACATTTGCCATGAAGGCCAGCTTGGGTTTACCAAGAGAGATTTGAAATCAGGTCTGCCTGATTTTAAAGCCTATGACCTGCTCCTTCTGCTAGAGAGACAAAAAGTAGTGAAGGAAGCATAAGTAGGGGATACCCTGAAATTAACCAAGGAAAGGAGCTGTGGCTAAAGTGATAGAGTGCTTGCCTAGCAAAAGTAAGGTTCTAAATTCAATCCTTAGTACTATCATACAATAAAAAAATAAAGAAATAAAATATCTCTTGTTTTTCCTGTGCAAAAACTGAGGCCCAGCTAGGCAACACTGGCTCACATCTGTAATCCTAACTATTCAGGAAGGTGAAATCTGAGGATCATGGTTGAGTCCAATCTGGGAAGAAAAGACCAAAAGACTCTGTCCCCAATTAATCAACAAAATGAAGGATTAGAGGAGTGGCTCAAGTGGTAGAGTGCCAGCTATGAGTGGAAAAAGCAGAGTAAGAGCTTGAGGCCCTGAAGTTCAAGTCCTAGGACTAGTAAAAACAAACAGCAAGCCCAGTTTTGGGAGTGATTTAGTCATGGTGACATGGCTCTCTTTTGACTCTTTTCCAGTACCATGGAGGCATCCCTAGAAAGCCTTCAGCTTCAGAGAGTGGGATCTTGTCCTGAAAACCAAATGCCAGTTACCAGATCTTGTTGGGCTTTTAGTGGAAGTAAAGTTGAGTCTGGAACTGACTTAAATATGGAAGAGTTGATCACTTATAGTAGCTTCTGAACTTCTTCCACAGTTCAACTTTCAGGGAAGTTTTTGGTTTTCCCCACTTCTACTTCCTCCTATCTCGAAGCTGAGACTGGTGGGAAGTAAAGGAGGCTACCTGTAGTCTCGGGGACAGCTACCGAGGTGTCAGTGGACCCTCCTCATATCCTGCCTGCTGGCATCCCACATTATCAACTCTGAATTTTTTTTTTTTGTCTTTTTGTCAATCATGGGGCTTGAACTCTGGGCCTGGGCGTTGTCCCTGAGCTCTTCAGCTCAAGGCAAGCCCTACTACTTGAGCCACAGCACCACTTCCATTTTGTGTGTGGGGGGGGGTTTCCAGTTGTGGGGCCTGAACTCTGGGCCTGGGCGCTGTCCCTCAGCTCTTCAGTTCAAGGCTAGCGCTCTACCATTTGAGCCACAGCGCCACTTCCGGCTTTTTTCTTTTTGATTATGTGGTGCTGAGGAATCAAACCCAGGGCCTCATGCATGCAAGGCAAGCGCCCTACCACTGAGCCACCTTCCCAGCCCCCATTTTTTTTTTCTGGTGGTTTATTGGAGATAAGAGACTCATGGACTTTGCTGTCTGGGCTGGCTTTGAACCGTGATCTCAGCTTCCTGAGTAGCTAGGATTACAGGTGTGAGCAACCAGCACCCTGCTAGGAACTCTGAATTCTTAACCTTGCACTTTACCTGCCTCTTCAATTCCCTTTTACTTTCTTCTTGTATGCTTCCTTCTCTTCCTTCTAAGGAGTACCTCATTTTTTCTCCAAGGCCACCTATTCCCACTGCACATTCCTACTGTGAACCATAGCCAGCCACTAATGGCCAACAGCCAGAACTAGAAGTCTGGTTTTCTCTGGGGTCCAACTCACTGTGTGGTTTTGTGTGAGGCCAGGCTTTGCCTGACTGTGATTTCTATTTCAGCCAGTTTCCCCCTCCCAACCACAAGGGACCACTTTGACTGATGTGCTGACTGTAACTGGCTTGGCGAGTGATTATATTACCGGTCTCTGCTGCCCACAGGCCTAAGATCAGCAGCTGGAGAAATGCTGATGCTCTGTCCTTGCAGGAGCCGCCAAGTCTAGAAAACACTAGGCCTTTGTCCCCAGGGTCAGGGAAATCCATTTGCTGTGGATTACAGCTGTGACAGAGTTCCAGGCAAGCAAGGGTAATGATACTGAAAACAGAGTTCTCCAAAGCTACCCTATAGCCCTGGGGTAAGTCAGAGTGAGGGTTTTCTAATGGAATCAGGGCCTGACAGGAAATGAGAGGTCTAGTCAACCCTACAATGGCTTCTGAGGGTATTAGGCCATCCTGGACTTGTGTATAGAGTTTGACAACACAGGATGAAGGGGTTGCTTTTTGGCTGCCTTTCTCTCTGAGATAGAAGGTGGTTAGAAAAGAGGGTTTAACTCCCTGGACCGAGGGATCATCAGTGAAGACCTCTTCTCACACCATAGGTTACTGTCTGAGTGAGTACTTGTTCACATTAGTTAAACTATCTCAGGACAGCAGTTGGGTAGCAGTAGCAGTTAGCAGTCGGAGGAGACAGACATACCAGTACAGGCTAAATGGACTCAGCTTCAACCTCCTCAAAATATCCTATTCCCTATCCCTCTACTGCTTAAGTGTTTCTAGAAACTGGAGTAAATAAACAAAGGTCAACAAAGACACAGGTGAAAGACGTGTAGTTAGAGCAGATCATATAAGTCCTAGCAATCACAGGAGGAAGATTTCATTACAAAGCACCACAACATAAAATCTATAGAATAGTTTTCTGAAACAATACTGCTTTCTTCATAACTTACAAAAAGCAGGTTACATCAAGTACTTATATTCCAAGCTGGTGCCTGTTTGTTGAAGAATATGGGAAGGAAACAGAAGGATTTGAGGCATGAGGGTGTTTGTCTTGACTCATGCATCAGTGTATTATTCTATGGCAGAATGATACACATTTTGAATCTCCTATAGACTCTCTTCCAATTCTAATGTGGCTTTGTGAAAGGCCATGTGAAGAGACAGAAATATGTGGGCGGAAGATAGCTGTGTGAAGACACAGGCAAAGATTACAGCTCTACCACCACACCAAAGACCCTCAGAGCCACTAGAAGATAGCAGGAGTTAGGGAAGAATTTCAGGAGGAGCTCAGCCCAGTTGACACCTTGGTTTCAAAGTTCAAGTTTCCAAAGCAGTGAGACAACGTATGTCTGTTGTTCTAAATCACCTAGTGTGTGGTACTTGGTTATGGCAGCTCTAGGATATACTAAATTATACTGCTGACTACTAAATCTCACTAGCTTAAAAAGGTCAATGAAACTAGAAAGCAAACGTGTGAATATATAAAACACAGCCTTGTTAACATAACAGCTTAGCATGCTTCTAGGCAGGGGGCCTCAAAATGGGGTCTTCTGGAAACTCTTCAAAAATGCCCATTTTCAGATTCCACTTCAGACCAAATGAAGCAGAAATTCTGGAATGGGGTTCGGTGACCTTTGTCTTTACCAGACACATGGGGAATTCCAATGCACATGAAGTCTGAAAGCTTTTGCTAGAAGAGGGATGTTATCAACCCCATGGGAGATCAAGAACAGCAGTCACATGTAAGACAGTTATTGTAAAGTTTCTGAAAAGAGGGGACTAGAAGTCAGGGAGGGACAAGTACCAGAATTTCTTCCTTGTTGACAACCCCAAATACCTGCATGTGGCAAGGAGGGGTACAGGCAGTTCTCAGACCCCCATTATGTACTATGGTGCCTACATGCATGAAGCCTAGTGTCAGTCATACTAGGCATCATGCCTATTCCCTGACCCTTCCCTCTGCCTAGGCTACTCTCGGTGTCCCTTTCCCATCTCCCTGGCCAGAGCTTGCTCATCCTGTGCCCTTCAGTCATATCTACTTTCCCAGAATTTTCCTTTCTGTACTCCAGCCTGGATTTAGTGCCTTCTTGTTTTTTATATTGCAGCAGGACAGCTGATTGTCCTCACCAGGCAGTAACAACTATTTTCAGACCACTAAGTAGATATTTATCCCTAACATAGTGCCTGGCCAGCAACAGCTTGGCCCTCCACCCCTTGCAAGTACCCATTTTCTGTTGCCCATTTTGTTGGGTTTTGAGTTTGTCTTTCTAAGGAATTACATTATTTGAGTTCTCTCTAGAGTCTCTCATTTCAGTTAATACATTTGAAACCACATGCAAACCACCCAACATGTTTACTTATAGAATTATAGGCAAATTTTAGCTACTTTTGTTTCTCTGGGTCTGACTTAACTCATCTATTACAATTTTTTCTATTTCCTTATGAATGGTACAATATCATTCTTGCTAATGGATGAGTAAAACCCCATTGTGTTTATATACCAC